GCGTGCCGCAGCGCTGCTGCGGCATCGGCGCCAACAGCCCCGGGCACCCGCCCGCGCCGCCCGTGCCGCCCCGGCACAACTCCAGCCCGCAGCTCCCCAAGCTGCCACCAAAGACCTACAAGCGGGAGCTCTCCCACCCGCCTTTGCACAGACTCTCCTTGCTAGAAAATGCAGAAACTCCTCAATGACCTTCGCCGGAGTAGTCATTGACACTGGAATAGTATTTGTAAAGTTCCTTTTTTTTTTTATTTATTCAAAAAAAAAAGGCAGTGTATTTTAGTACTTTCACAAATTATGCTCTTAAAGTGCTGCTGATCAAAGAAAACAAAGTTTAAATTGGAAAAACTAGACGCCGCGCACGCCAGTCCGTGTCCGTTCGACAGCGTTACCCTCAGGTGAGCAGCAGCATCGCCTCCTTCCACCTCCTCAGTGCCCACAGCCATGCCAGGACACAAAACGTCTCTTTTGCACTGTAAGCTACACTAAATGAGTTTAAACTGACATCGTTTTCTTGCACTGAGCCAAAAAGGTGCGTCTGTGGAATTTTCTGTTATTTTTTCAAATCGGAGCACTAGTGGCCTTTTTCAAAAGAACGGTGGGATGGTGACACAACACGAGGCCGTTCAGTGCTATAACCCCCGGCCTTCTGGTGCTGCGTAAGCTCCAGGGCTCGTGAGTGACTGCTGCTGTTCTCTAACGTTTTAATGCCGTGTCTTAATTGCCATTGATTTGCTGCTGAAGAAAAAAAAAAAGAGTTGAAATGTAGAAGAAGATACCAAAATACTCCACTTGTCGTGATGACTGTGTCAAAGCGTAACCAAGGACTGCCTGTGGGAGACGTGGGGACGGTCCCTCGTCCTTAGCATGCATCTTGTTCGGATGTGCCTTTTTGTTTCGGTAGGCGGAGATGTCTTAAGCTAAAGAGTTGTCTACTGTTTTGAGAACAAAGCTATATGCCATGTATGTACAATTGTTTATATTGTATATTTACAGATAATGCTAATAACCTGTATAAATTTAAGTGACTTGAGGCCTATAATGCAGTCTGCTACTCTCGCACCCGTATGCAGTCAGAAGTGTTTCCTCTGGCGCAGGAGCAGTCTTGCCTTCCAAACCTAATAACTTCCTTTAGATCTCACTTAACTTAATTGTGAATCCATTCTGGAAATTGGTAGCATTTAAACCAGCAAACACTTTATTAAACTTTTTAAACCGAAAAGTGAATGGAACTTTTATTTGCCAGTCGAACTACTTGTTTGAACTGGCGAGAGTGAGTCGGTTTTACTGGTAGCACTGTAGCAGCATTTATAAAGTGGCCAGAAGCCACGTTTATTTACTGGTCTGTGGCCTTTTACTGTGCTTTGTATCAGAGTTCTTAACAAGATTAATAAATCACCCCGGTTTTAATTTTTAAGAGCTCGAGCAGTGCGTGTTCCTTGGAAGGACCTGGATTTGGTGACGGTGGCGCGATGCAAAGTGCCCCTCTGCTCCGTGCTGTTCCCGGCTCCGGTTGTCCTTCGCGCTGCGTTGGGCTGCGACGGAGGCTGCAGGGAGCGGAGCTGGGGCAGGAGAGCTCCCTGCGCCTTCATCCTCCCCCAAACCCTGGGGCTGTTTGGGCCCTCGGGATGGGGAAGTTTTCCAAAGTCATCTCCCTGCTGTCCCCTCTGCGGCTCTGGGCGCGCTTAGAGCAGCTCCGAGGCTCGTCGGGCGCCCGTGGGGCTGCCCCTATCGCGGGCACTCTCCTGGGGACACAGATGAGAAAAGATGCTGTCTAGCTTGTCAAGGTGACTTCTCACCAAGTGAGGTGATTTAGTGAGTGGATTTAGTTGCTTATTTAGTGCAGGGAGTTGCTATTTCCAGGCAAACCATAACCCTTTAGCCAGCTCTACTTTTGGAATGAGTGACACTTGGTTATGCTCAGTTTTGTAGTTACTGACATGTTACAATTTGGCTCTGAGCAAGGTGATGTGGCCCCAAGCCCTTTGGTGGGCACCTCGTGCATCATATTAACAGATATACCTTCAGAATGGGGTATGTCCTGTTAGACGTCTCCCAGGATGAGCAGGATGAGATTTAAAATAATATTTTACTCAAAAGCACAAATTTGCCTGTAAAGATGGTGTTATCTGTTGTGTCTATTAAGTTAGCTAGGCTGATGCTTCCTCTGTCTTGCTCCTGGGTAAAAGGAAGAGGAGGAAGGTTGTTATTCTCCTTTTTCCAAGCTAGGGCCTCCTTAGTCTTGCTACTTTATTTATTTTTATTTATTTACTTATTTACTTATTTATTTATTTTTACAAGAGCGGGAATCATGGTCCTGTGGAGTAATACCTCATTTCCTGCTAGTCTACTTAAAGATAATTGTGTTTCTTTGTGATACCTTAATTAGCACGTTCCCTAGTTTCAGATTGCTTTTCTTTGTTACAGTTTTGCGAAGATGATCACAGAATCATGGAATGCTTAAGGTTGGAAGGGACCTCTAGAGGTCATCTAGTCCAACCCCCCTGCATACGCAGGGTCACCTAGAGCACGTGGCACAGGACTGCGTCCAAGCGGGTTTGAAGATCTCCAGAGAAGGAGACTCCACAACCTCTCTGGGCAGCCTGTTCCAGGGCTCTGGCACCCTCACTGGGAAGAAATTTTTCCTTAAGTTCCTGTGGAACTTTTGGTGCTTCAGTTTGCGGCGAAGCTGCGCGGCTGCCGACGCACGAGGGCTGCAGCGAGGCCCCCGCGACGCTCCCGTTTGCAGCGGGATTCGGAGAGTCGGAACTCACGGAAGAAGCAGCACGTTTATCAGCGCTACCTAGAAATGATGCTGCCCCGGGGAGCAGCTCCCAGAATAGCCTTTCTTTTTTGGGTGTTAGGTGCTGACTTACAGAAATACATGGCCAGGGAGGGGAGGCTGCCTTTTATACTCGAGTTGTGAGGCAGTGGTTTGGGGCAGAAGTTCTGAATTCTGCACTTCAGCAAAAATGAGTTACCTAACCCAGAGCAAGGCCTAGAATGGTCTGATTCGGAAAAATCCTGATGCATAAAAGGTCGCCAGCCTTGGCCACTGTTTCCTAGCAGACTGACAGGTCAGACAATGAAGGAGATAAAGGTTCACACCAGCAGGGTGGTAATGTGACAACACAGTCCTCAGCTACTTGCTTACCACTTCCAGATAGCTTCCTGCAGAGCTGAACTGCCCTCCAGGCCTAACGTGAGCTGGAAAATACAAAAACAAGGAACCGTTCCAGACAGGGCAGCAGCTGCGCTGCCAGCGGCCTCCAAGGGCGGTGGGTACGGAAAGAGACGATCCCAAAGTAACTGTTTGGCTCTGGAAGTGGTTGGAGGCAGTTCGATTCCCACCAGTGTGGTTCAAGGGCAAGCCAAGATAGCAATAAATTATCATTTCAGTTCGTTCGTAATTAGAGGGATGGATAAAAAGAGCAAAAATGCTAGAGGAAGAATGTGAAACTGCTGGTTTGAAGCTGGCTTCTGTGGGAAAAGGCGGTTCCTTCAGAAGCGCAGATAAGCAGATGGAATGTGAAGGCATTTAACAGCAAAAGCAACATCCTTCTAGCTGTTTTCAGTGCTCCTACTTGGAGTTTTAGCATTTTCTCCTGCTCTGGAGCCTGAATAGTTTCTTTGGGCTATGACTTGACTATAGCAGATCTAAAACAAAGAAGAGAAGATTTTTTGCTCTTTTTTTTTTCCAGAATTATTCCAATGATCATAAATACACCACAGATTAAAATTCTGAATTCCAATCAAACACAGTAACTCTTCCTTGGGGAAGGGAGTTAAGGTTAGTATGAAACGTTAAGAAATAAAATAGCAAGAGCTTTTCCCCAGAAGCCCAAGGAGATATAGCAACAGAAAGCCTTTGCACTTATAAGTTTTGACTGCCGGGCAACTCTTTTTTAAAAACTGTATCGAAGTTTCAGTGTTGGGTGAAGGGCTACAGCACATGGGACTCCTGCTGACTGACGTGCTCGGGGTGTCCCTGCTGGAGCAGGGGCTTGGACTAGATGATATCCAGAGGTCCCTTCCACCCTCAGCCATTCTGGGATTCAAGAACTGCACGTGCCCAATAGTTAACAGGCTCGAAGTCTTTGGTTGCACTGAAACATTACATTAAGGTAATTGCTTAAAAATGGGCAAAATGTTGGAAACTCTGAGCATGCCAGCAGTTTTATGCAGAGACACACACATAAACTGAACATCTCCAAGAGACACTCAGGTGCTTTAAACACAGACAGCTGGTGCTGTCCCAGACATTCACATGGTGTTAGCAGAAGGTTTCCAGAGCAGATCTCTTGCCAGGAAAAGCAACTGCAGAAACTGTAGGGTGAGGAAAATGCCGAGAGAAACCCAAATCTAGGCCCTGGGATCATTTCCCTGATACCTCTGGAAAACTGAGTCAAAATGGCTCAAGTAGGGGTAGCAATTAGGCTATGTGGGACGCAAAACAGGTCTTAGAGATCTTCCAACCGACCACTGCAGGGCCAAACTGCGAAACTGCAGCCCACTGCAGTGAGCCTGGGAGCAGATGTTGTGTATGGTCAAAATCCTCATTGCTGTGACCTACCCAAACGTGGGGAAAGACGAGGAGCTCAGTGATAAGGAGGGAGGTGGAAGGGAAGCTGCTTCGCTTTGCAGCTGGAGGAGACACCCGCCTTGGAGCCAGGTTCATCTCACCGAGCTGCTCTGCGTGCGCCGACTTTGGGACACGGCGTCTGGCAGGCTCAAGCTGAGGACGAAAAAAAAATCATTAATAGTGATTTATTTTCAAGCAATTTAAATCTGGAAGACTGTCTTCAGCGCTGTCCTCTCCCCTGGCTGGTACTTAACGTGAGCTTCCTCTCCGCAGACAGCGATGGGTTAATCGGGAAGGCTCAACTTACCACCAAGAATGCGCATGTATGTGTTCAAACATGAGATGACACCACTTTTTCCACCTAGTTTCCAAATGAGGGTTTCTCACCTCTCCCCTGGAGGGAAGTCTGACTTCTGTGGAGGACAAGGCTGCAGTAACAAGACGAGCAATGGCCGATGGCTGCTCTACACTTGCCCCTGCACTGCCAACAAACAGGAAAAGCAAATTAAAGGCTTTTAAGCAAAATGCTGCTCAGAAGAGACTCTTTCACACAATTCTCCGTTCACAGGACAGTGGGTTGAAGACAAACGAGCCACTGATGTGTGCTATTGTGGGGCTGTTTCCCCCTCTTGTACACACACCTACCATGCCGCGGGCAGGTAGGATATTACATGAGCACGATATTTTGTGACATTACCATGAACAAAATAAATAAATTGTATTTTCCACCCTTCTGTGGCTAAGCTGTGCTGCTAGCAGCCTCCAGTGCTGAGGCTGCCAAGGGGGCCCAAAGCCTGGCCCCAGGGCCTCTCTGCATCCCGCCTGTGCAATAACGTTTTGTTGTGGAAGACAAAAAATGAATAATAATAATAATAATAATAATAATAATAATAATAATAATAATAATAATAATAATAATAATAA